ATACACAGGCCTAGGATGGTGAAGTCACCAATTGAATGACGATTTAGCCCCTCAAAAGTCTGTGTGGGTGTCTCTCCATGGTATAACTTTGGTGTCCTTCCAGAGCCTGCACAGCATGTTAGAAGGAAGAGCTTCCAAAGGACGTTTTTTGGGAGAGGGCAGTTTTCTGGTTTTCGTAGGCATGAAAAAGATGCTCACAATAGGGTTTGTGTACATTGCTATTCAGACCTTACTCCCTCAAAATGGCTTCCAAAAGTGATGCTGCGGAAACAAACACGAGGTCATTGCCATTTTTGCCCTGCTAGGCACATGGTCCACATGCAAAATGAAACAAACATGGTCGCTGCCCTTCAGGAGTTTACAGAATCCTGTGGATATCACCATGTAACAAACACATAAAAATGATAGCAAATTTTAAAAAGCAAGACGAAGAGAAGCCAGGTGCTGAGGCCCTGCAAGGGACAGAGTCCCAGGAAGGATGCATAGGAACCTCGAAGGATGTGCTGAACGCTGAAAATAAACACTTAGGCATCGGAGCAAATTTAAAAAGCAATGTGTATTTCTGCTTGCGCGAGGCCTAAATTGTCCATTTCGTAATAGACAGACTAATTTTGTGCCATTTTCGCTTACATTCTATTTTGATTTTAGATAAGGAAAACTAAAAGAGGCCAAGAGTTTTAGAATTAAGTCATGTGTAATACCTACTGAATCAGAAATAAAAATAATAACACAAAGAAATGAATTCTGAAATGTGAAATTCATTTTGGAATCAACTACATGCTTAATTTTGACAAACCCAAAATAAGCAACCCTATGGGCGAACTAAGTCGCATATAAAGAAAATCCGTTTCCTCCCTAGTCTCAAAGTTCCTGGAAATTCACAACAGTTCCCTAGATTAGGTCTAATTCTTAAATTCCATTAGTCACTTTAAGATCTAAACATCAAATAACTTTATCAGCAGAGTCCTATTTGATTATTTGCTGAGGAAGAAAAAGAATTTGGATGAGGTTAAAACCTTGGACTTCACTACAGAAAATAAGATATGGGCTGGGACACTCAGTTGTGGAATTCTTTATAAACATTTCAAGACATCTTGCTGATTTTCACCATATCACTAATTTTCACTGCCTTGTAAATGAAGTTCAGATGCAATATATGTTCATGCCTTGAATAATCAAATTAATGCAAAGAGCCTAAAAGCATTTTCAAGGTCAGTAGTAATGCCATACGTTGAACACAAGTTATTAAAGTAGAGTATATTTCTACAGAACATTCTAAGAAATGATAAAACCTAGCTGCACATTAGAATAACCTGGGGAGATGTCAGAAAAGCATAGGCCCAACTCATAATATTCTAATTTGATTGGTCTCAGATAGGACCCAGCTTTCTCTCTCTCTCTCTCTCTCTCTCTCTCTCTCTCTCTCACACACACACACACACACACACACACACACACACACTACTGATAATAAAACCATGGCTTTAGACCTGGGCTATATCCCAGGAAGAAAATACAAACAATTCCTGATAATCAACTCTAAACTTCCATTTAAGGGGAGAACTAACAACGATCATTTGTTTTGATGTCATCATCTCATTCAAAAAAAAAAAAAATAGATTTCAGCAAAATTTAAAAGTTTGCAAATCGCCAGGCATTCTATTCAAAGTAGGAAAAGAGGCCAAGAGCAAATGAAATTTTTTCCCTTCTGGCATTTGCAATGATGCCCATTAGGTATTAGCTATTGGCTATTATAGTATTAAGGTTCGACTATCTTGCAAAAAACTTTATTCCCATTCGTTTTCGTTTCTGTCAGACTTTCCATTAGAAATTTTAATTTTCTCTGCCAGTTAAAAAAGAGTATGAGGTTACAATTTGGCAAGAACACGTTAAGCTGGGTGTGATTTCTGTACCCCAATTTGATTTAAATTAGTTTTGCCATATTTAGTAAGAACTCGAAAAAGTCCGTTTCACTACTTTTGCTTATCTTTTGGTTCATTTTCTGTACAATTTTAAAAGTCTCAAAAAGTCACCATGTTTATTTCTGATAATTTCACACGGAAATGCATTAATGAAATAATATTGTCCCATTACTATTTTTAATGAAAACAACTTTATTGCTAATAAAGAACCTACTGGCTTTCACTCTTCTGCTAAAATATATCCATTTTAAAAAGCACCATGTATCAATCAGTATTCGTGTTAAATCCTTAAGAGAACTCTAATGGATGTATATCTATTTTTGAACTTGATGTATTTCTGCAACAATACACATTGCACAATAATAATGAATTCCTCCAGGACAGCACTTTACTACCTGTTGCTTGCCACCACTCTGTCTCTATGCCAAACAAAAGGCTATTGGGACTGGCACAAGCATGTTTCCATACAGCATTCCTCATCTCTTTAGGTCCACAGTTATAATAGTCCACTGTTAGAAATGATAAAGCAGCTTTTGGAGCTCCTTAGGGCATACCATCTAAAGGTTTCCTATTCCGTATCTCAATCATGTAAACAGAAGAAAAACAAAAGCCTCCCCTCCACGAGTCACTCACCTTGTCACACAGTGAGGAATCATTTCAGCTGTGATCTGCTATTTAGACTTGAAGCCCAAGATACCGAGATTCTGCCTTTCTCTTTGGTTTGCATAGCTGGTGTTGTAGACGGGGATTCAAACAACAATACGGCACAAGAGAAACTGATTCACTGGAAGACACACTATGGTCTGTTCTATTCTCAAATTTCACAGAAAGCAGAAATTCATATTCTGTACATTTTTCATCTTCAGCCCCTATTATATCCCTCCGTCAGCAAATTTCCAAATTTTCACTTTTATTTATCCCTAAGTAATCACACTGTTTATGGAGATTGCTGCGACCACACTAAGCACAGAGATAGGCGAGTCCTGCAAGACTCACAGCCACGAAACACAAATTAAGAATGAAGGAATCTCCACACTCCACGGCTATATTACGAAGGCTTTTTAAGAAAAGCATATGCAGTCATAGTGCTATATACAAAAGAATTTTCCTGGATATTGCTGCCTCAAAACAAACCTCCCAAGGCCCAGAAATTCAGCCATCACACACCAGTCCGTCCACCTATCTTCCACCCTCTGCCCCTTTCCACTTCTCACCTTGTGTTTGCACAAAAAAAAAAAATTAACTTCAGTTTCACCCGAGGGAAGTATTCTCCACAAACGGAGAAAGGAGGGTCTGTGTTCTGCACACACACAGACAGACTCACACGGTCTGGATGATGCTTTCACAAGTTAAGGGGCCTCACGCTTACTCAGCAGAGGAAATCTTTGTGTCTGTGAGGAATCACGCCAATTCCTATTAGTAAGAAAGGATACAGGGGCAAGGAAGCCTATTCTCTCAATGACCAGAAAAGGGGGCCCAGCAAAAACAGAGACCTCTGCCATGACCATCTGCAGAAAGGAAGGATGTTGTCAACTTTCTTCTCCCCAAAACTCTAATGACCTCCGCCTTGACCCTCAGAAACCAGACCCACAGGAACACGCTCTTCTGCAGGAACTGAGAGCTTTACACCAGAGACACAGCACTCAGAGGCTTGTCGCCCAGGCTATCTAGCCCGAACATTTGCACTCACATTCCAAAGATGTTTCCGTTGCACTGGAATGGCTGTAAATTTCTTTCCTGCAGAATTCTTTCCAAACAAACTACCATGAACTGCACTCCGGCAGGAGCTCTTAACCAAGCACCGTACACCTCAATGCAACAAATCTTTCAGATGCCGAATATGACTGAATTGGTGGCTGGGCCAAGGGAGTAAACTTTAAAAATGCAAATATATACAGGGAAAAAACAAACACACCAACCCACCAGAAGTTGTACCTTTTTCTATGTCTGATACGTAAAGGAAAGTTTCCTCATAGGCTCGATTTAATTACAGAAACAAAACTTTGCTTACATTTTTCAGAGGTATATGAAACAGGTTGTTTAAAAAAAATCAAAATAGATTTTCCTCCCATAAAGAACATGAGAGAGTGAGAGTTCAAGAGAGTAAGCATCCCCTTTCCAGCATTTTTTTTTAAGTACATTCTGTTTGGGTGAATAATAAAAACAGAAGAGAGCTTTGAATATTAAAGAGGATTATTAAATTCCATCAAGAGTTTTCCAAAGTAAGAAACCAATGCACTTATAAAAAGGAAGTATACATTTAAAAAAAGATTTTAAATACATGATTAATACCGATACTGAACTGAAAAGAAAAGTATCTATAAAAACTCAATTGTCTTGAAACAAAGCTCACACTTTTAGCTATTGATAGTATTTTTAGAAATGGGCTTTCTCTGGAGAGTTTAAAGTATACAAATGCAGAGTGCCCAGAGACACAAACACACATGCTACACCTTTGTATTACCCTGGCATTTTATTATTTAATTAAAGTACTCTTATTTTTCTAGCTCACGCATGCTTCCCTTGAGACGGCTTTGCTGTTAGCCTGCTGGCCTTGACTTCCAGCCAAAAACAATTCAGAAACAAAAAGGGACAACAAATCATATTTTCACAGACATTTTTATCCCTCAATCCAACCCTGTTTTCACACAACATCATACAGCCCCTATGAAAACTATAATTTAGGGCGATAGCCACCCGAAACCCAGGGTCTGACACATGACTCCGCGAAGTCTTTCCTGCGTAAGAAATTCCTAAGTTCTTAATTGTAAATAAACTCTTTTGATAGAACCACTTTTACCGACATTGCTGGTTTGCAAACAGTGCCACTGGTACCGGCTGATGGATTAAAAAATAAAAACAAGCCCAGGAATGTAGTTCTGATCCAGCAGCGATCTAAAGATGAGGTGTTTATTAGTTCTAAGCTCTGGGTTATTTCATTACTTAAAGAGAGAGCCATCATCTGACTTGCCAGTGCATCTTTAGTGTCACAGTTTAAAATGCATCATCTAATTTAGAAAACAAAGTGATTTCCCAGGTTAATCCTCTGAACCCTCCGCAACAGAGATTCTCACTTACCTGGTGGCAACCCTGTAAGTTCGATTCTCTCCCATAAGATGAGTATGAGCCCCTTTCTGTTTTACCTGCCAAGAGAAATGACAAAAACGTGTAAATTATGTTTTTCCTTCAAAAAAAAATCTTCTCCAGGTAACAGACATCTACTGCTCTTCCCCGATGTTTACATACGTAAAGTAGGCACTACTGGCAATGTATGCAAGCAAGAGAGGGAATAGCACTTCCTCACTCTGGCTATGATAAACTGAAAAAAAAATATCCTTCATTCCTATTCTTAGCCAAACTGCTCCACACTTCCAAAAACTGTCATTCCAATGGCCTCCTCTTTCTCTAACAAACAAATTGTCACTCCTTATTTTCACTTTTCTCTTGCACAAAATTTAAACAATTTCATTTTTATTTACACAGCAGGCGAATTATCTATGTAATGACCCTAGTCTAGTAATTCCCATTGATTATATTGACACTTAATGGTGAGGCCAAAACTAATCAATCACAGGCTCTCCAGATGGTGAATTTAGCAAAGAAACTATTCAAAATTCTGAGTCTCTCTCTTTTTTAAAAAATCCCTTTCCCAGGAGTGAATCCCATCATGATCAAGATGATGATGGAATTTACATTTGGGAAACGGGGCTTTTGAAAAATTGCCTACTGTGAACCCAGGTTCAGAATCCACCAAGAGACCCACAGGACAAGGGGTCATGGAATGTGAATGTCTTGTTCCAATTCTGATAACCCGATCTTCATCTGTAGACTGCTCTACAGAGATATGTAGACCCTTCAATGCTATTGGCCACATGTAAGAATAAAATCAAGGGTGTTCATTTGTTTCTTTTAAAGTTTAGTCCCATTAATCATTAGGGAAGATAATGAAATCACATCACAAGAGATCTAAGCAGCAGAGTCCAGAAATGACATGTGGAGAATCATTGAGGAAATCTGTCCATACCAGAACATTAAAAGGGGCTAAAAGAGGCAGGCAGGTGCCCAAGACCCCACCCCACTCAAGTCTGGATTACTTTACAGTAATTATACGTGATACATAGGACTACACTATATTCTTTTTTCCAGTGGGAAAACCCTCAACTTGTATTTTGAGAGGCTGAATCGATTTCTTTCTGAAGTTTACAACCCCCAAGTTTTCCCCTCTCAACTGAACACAAATGCTAAAAGTAACAGGAGTCTTTTTATCTTTTAGGTCAGTGGCAATGGCAATGTTATTACAGTATGCCTTCCTGACACCACACAAAGAGTGTATCTTTCATACATTTATATCGATAAATTTTCTACCTGGTCAAAGGGTACCCTGTATCTAAGTCACTACATATATAAAATGGATGATGGTTTTCAAAGAAAGCCAAGCCCAAGTCTTAAAATTAACCCCCTGTTTCCCATCATTAACTTTTCTACCCAATTTAATGAACCTTAAAGTTGGGAAAAACACCTCCACCCCCATTTCTGGTCTAGTGGTCAGTGCAAAGTATAAAATCAATGCCCATATCAGTTTCAATTTCAGTGAAACTGAAATAGACTGTCTTCATAGACTGTCAGTCTTAGAAGATCTAAAAGAATAACTTCCATTGTAGGAGGATTTTACATTGAAGAAAAGATACATTTATACTATATCAGCAGTGTGAATGGTCACACAGATATATTTACTCATCTGTGTATGTCAGATTTAAGCTACTTATACCCTTTAACCTCTCTCTATAAATATTACAAACAGAAGATGCTCGACCTTTATGAGCTATCAAAGGACACATCTCCTTCCTTAAGCTCTTGCACCTAAGAATGCTTCAGTATCACCATTACATCCCTTACTTTGACGTAATATTCACTTGTTTAACGGGTAGATAGGAAGGCAGGAAGCTAGGCAGGTGAGGAGGCAGGTAGAAAGACAGAAAGATGGAAAAAGTGGAATTTGCTCTGACTTCCGAAGAGACTGACCATCTAGTGTCCTGTTTCGGTAATTTCTAAAAAATTGAAACGTAAAATACTGTTTAAAGAAGAAAAACCATCTATTTTTTTCTCTAGAAGGAATTCCTGAAGCATCCCCTGTAGAATTTCACCACCCAGCATTATTTTCCAACTCAACTCCAAAACACAGTACTGGAGGGAGATTTTTCTGCCAGGATTTGCCTCACTTATAGATACAGGTTGGGCTACTCCTTCCATTATTTAACAGCTAAAAGGGCAGTGCAAACAGTAAGTATTTTAAAAGGAGAAACAAAATAAGTAGGAGAAAAAGAAAGAGAGGAAGAGTAGAATGCAGAGAGAAGGGGTAGGAAAGGAAAGAGGGAGGGGGGAGAGGGGAGGAGAAGAATATGAATTCACGCTAGAGTCCCCGAAGTACTCTTGGCTACATGGAACCCAGCGTTCTTTACTATCATATCAGATACAGACTGCTTAATCTTAATTTTGCTTGTTAAAAAATATTTATCCAGATACAAAAATAAACCCACTGCAAATTACAAGTTGTCAGGGTTAAAAATCTACTCCTGTTTGTGTGGGGGAGGATAAGAGACCAGCATAGACATGAATCATTCTCAGTAATTTGAGTGTTTCCATGACATCAATGGGCACCCGTCCAGGACTCTGTCGAAGTCTGCGAGGTACCAAAGAGGCAGCACAGCCAGCAGGAGGCTGGGAGGTGGACTCTTTTTTTTTTTTTTTTTTTTTTTTTAAGGATTATGCTCCTTGTAAAGATTTCATCTGTAGCATCCACTTTTACCATCAAATAGATCGCTCCAGAGGTCATGAGCGAACACATTTCATTCTGATGGTGTAAGCCTTTAACTTTATTACATCTTTTTGTTCCCAAATTCAACTATAAATCTGCCCTTAGAGTCAAAACCCCTGTTTGGGAGCAAAATAATCAGGGACTGTGGATAAAGCCCAGGCACCTTCTCAAACATAACATCGCAGTTCCTATCTTATATTTTTTTTTAAGATAAAAAGCAGCCATTTTAAAAGGACACCTCAGTTTCTAGAAAAGAAATTATCTTTTATATAAATTGTCCATTAAAAATTAGCTATGGTCTTGATGTTGATTTTCTGCTTAAAATTCAGTTGGAACATTTGTTTCAGATAATAACATTTTCAAGAGTGCTGATAACATGTTTGAGGAGGATCCTTAAGTAACTATGTGTGCTCCTGAACACAAAAGCTCCTAAATATCTGTGTTTACTCTATGTCAGGAATGGATTTTTGTCACTTATACCAACTGGCTGGCGCGGAGAGCCTCTTTCCTCCTTTCTCCATTCTCTACCACCCACCTCCCCCCATCCCCACAACCACAACAGAGCTTTGAAAGAGCTAAAGATTCTATTTTTCCAATATTTAAAAGAGATAGCAGTGATGAACAAATCCGGCGTGTTCACTGCGGAATTTTCGAGACAACCCTCCGGTACTAGAATGCGACAGCCGCTGCGGATATTTTTTGGCACAAAGACAATGGTGGCAGTGCCAAGCCCCATGGCTAAAACTACTCAAAAGAGGCATAAGGGTAGCATTAATCGCTCAAGTCTTTTACTGCATGGAGTACTGTTGTCCATATTTTTAAAACTAAAAGTACCCGTTAGTAACATTTGTCGTATGCCCATAAAGATGGGGTTGGGGTGGGAGGGGGGGTTCTGAAATATATACCAGAAACAAATCTTGTCAGGCATTTGATTCATTTTTATACCTAAAAGGACCAAATGTTAAATTTTGCTGCTGGTGACGATTTGCCGTGCATGAAATGAATGATATGACCTAATGGAGAACACGAAGGGCTCGATGAAAGCTATAGAGAGCATTTCATAAACTAAGAAGACATATTGGCTAAACAACTTTCTTCTGCAAAAATGATGTATACAAAGGAACATGTAATACTGTGTCACAATTTTTTAAATTAAACAAGGAAAATGCTGTAAATGAGCAGACACAACATCCGTCAATCAATCCTTCCAGAGACAAAGGACATCAACATGCAGCCCCGTCTACAGAACAAGTCAGTATCTCCAGTGAGCAAACAGTCCAGAAAGTCAACATGTGTTCTGTCCAAATCGAATCCGTCCGCTGCTAAAGCCTATATTTAAATTTGATTATTAAAAATGGCACCAAATGGCAATCGATAAAGGATGCACTTGCTTCCCCTGCCCCGGAAAAACTAATATGAGCAGGAAATACAAGCGACTTCCATTTAAAAGAAAAAGTCAATATTTTTGCTGATCTGTTCAACCATCTTTTACCTTGCTGTCCCAAGAAGGAGGAGGAAAAATTGCTTTTTATTTGGGGGTGATATGGTTAACAAATGTCTATAGAATTTCAAATTGAATATTTTTATATTCTTATATTATCAGCCATTTGACTTCCAATTTTTCTTCCAATATATCCATGGTATCCTATTGTAAGGGAACTGGGTGACAATGAAAATATCACATGAAGGGGGAAAAATGATCTCATAAATCCATTCCACTCATAGAAATAAGAAGGATCACTTTCGGTAGATTACTGCCCTTGGATACACATGACAGTTCTAAGCCACATGGAAAGAGCTAGAGACAGACAAGCAACTTATCAATAAAATAATTTCTAGAGATAAGCTCTGACAGATATGATCCCTCTGGTGGTTGACCAGTAGGATAATAACAGGATCCTGTTTGGCTGTGTAGCCTTTCATTTGTAAAATGCCACTTCAAAAATTACATATAAATGGTAGGTGTTTCACCCATCGCTGAAATAGATGCATCTATATGGGAGAATATATCATCCTGTGAAAAGCCTTGATGAAAAATTATCTGATGCTGCAGGACAATACCAAGCAAGGCTGTTTCACTGTTAATCCTCATTCTGGGAACTGAAGAATGAGCCTTTTGTTCCCTGGCATCAGACTAGGGAACTCATCATAAACATGTTTGACTCAGAATAAATTTCTGCCCCCATCCCCAGTCCCATCCCATCTGATTACTCGTGAATTTCTTTATATATAGATAGAAAAAATTAGTTCATTAAACTATGACTGAAATTTTTAGTAGTTCTGAACATACACATGAGGTTATTATTTACAGTCCTTCATCGTTCCCAT